AAAATAAACAACTGAAATATTCCTTTAATTACATCTTTTTTTTTCTTTTTCTGAAGACTTGGTCAAATGCAAGTTTTCCTGTATTTCCAGTACTTCCTCTTATGTAAATTGCCCGTACCTTACCAAATCAGTTGTGACATTGCACCGGTGCAGTGTAAGTTCTGCAAACAAGCCATGTCAGAGGCACACATACAGGACACCGGATGCAAACCTCTTGAATTCCTTCCCTCAGCTGCTCTAGAATTGGGTTTGAGGTTGCAGAGTATTTTACTTTTGTTGTCGAATTGCTTTGCAAATGAGGCCCACCCTGGCAGAATTTCAAAGAACGCATGCTATATGTGCAGCCTCCTTCAGGCACTAGTTTCTGAACCTTCATCATTCTGTATGCATATGCACAGTTTTGCAGCACTAAGCTCACATGGAAGACTAGATAAACATGCCAAGCTGGGAGGAAGATGGAGGGCGGTATGCTTATGTCTTGTCAGCCCGTCTGTATGTTGATTTTGTGTTCCTTGACTTGACTGACATGGCCTATCTAATAACATGACAGGTAGACAGTATGAAAGCCTTGTAGGGATCTACCCATTAAAATGATATTCAATCATTTTTTTGATGGACTTTTTTTTTCTCTTGCCTGAAACCACGCCTTTCAAATGATTTGAGGTTCGGGTGCCATTCACGTTGAAATGTTGTGTTGCTTGAAGCCACATCAAAATAATTGGTTTGATATGCTCCTTTTTTTGCTTTGGCAATGACATTAACATGAGGTGATTGTGCAATGACTACAAAGAACATTTTTGTGTGTTATGTCGACTAAATTTGAGCCATGGATCCCTTGCTGGCTCGCAATCACATGTTTTTAGTCCGGGCATCAGGGAACATGTGATATAAGTAGAGCAGAAATGGCTTGCCTTTTTGATTGCACGTCCAATTCAGCTACTAAAAAAATAATTTTTGCATCAACTGAAACTTGCAATATAGCCCAAAGGCTCAGAAATTGCTAATGAACAGCAGCAGGGTGCAGTTGCAGTGGGAATAAAAGCAGCTAAAACCTAACTTTGTGTTTCAAACACAAATAATCAGCTGTGGGGTTTCTTTCTTTAAACTCCAATCAGCAGTGCCACTGGCTCATATTAAGAAAAAAATACATTAACTGTTTGATGTAACACACACACAAAAAAAAATATATATAAATATATATATAGACTCAGAACTGGGATAAATGCATATTCATCAACATTATAATTCAGCACCTCTCATCCTGTCTGGGAGCGCGATCGTTGTCACATGACAAAAACATATATGTGTTTTTTGCACTTGCTACAGTCTCTTCTTTCACTGGCTGTCAAGAACTATTCTTACAGTGCAGAGACTCTGCGAGCAAGGGGTGACTCCACGGAGAGGCTGAGAGGCAGAAGGCAAGAACAAGAGAATATATTTGGTGCTACGTTCTGTAGATCAAAAACATGGCAGTCACATGATCAAAGGCATTTGATAATCCTTGAACTACATTGCTCCTTTAATCCTAGTCAGAGAACTGTATTTTATTGGGTTGGGTGGGGGGAAGGACAGTGCTGAGTTGGTAAATGGTGCTGGTAAAGCACCAACTAACTGGTTTGGATCCAGTTTAGAACATGTAACTTAAAAGAGTGCAGAGGAAGATGACAGTATAAAGCCTCCTTGCACGAGCTGAAAATGGAGGCTGAGCTGATGGGGGCGAGAAACACAAATGTGCCACAAGTCCCTGTCCACTCAGCACTGAATCGTGCTCTTGTTGCTCTTTCGTGAGGCTTCTTGGGGAAGTAACGAATGTGACCAGACTGCTATGTGCTACATCTAAACGGAACCAGTGAAAAGGTTATGGACTATGAGTCGCCCAAGCAAGTTGTGACAATTCCAAACATGGGATGTGTAGTAGAAAATTACCATTTAGACAATTTGTGGGTTTTGTGGTTTTTCAGTGAGGGTAAAAGGTCGAAACAAAAATCTTTAGGCAAGTAGTTTTTCTTTTTTTTTTTTTCTAAATTAGCATGTCTCCAAGAAACCAGACAAAAAAACATCATGTTTCAGTTATCTTTCTACTTCCTCAGAAAACTGCTTTTGTTATACGTATATCATAGAAGTGTGCTCTCTGGGCCTCGTCAAATTACAACCACCCGAAGCACTCGGCAAATACAAAAAACATCAATATGCGGTGTAATCAAAAGCCCTCCGTTGCAAGTTCTGTCAATAGCGTTTCTTTATCAGATGCAAAATGTCCCTGACCAAAGTTGAAAAATGACAGCTGCTTTTCCTTGTTGTGTTTCCCCTCTGGTTTCTCTCCTAAACACATCATCCTTTCCTGTCTCTTGAAAAAAATGCAGAGACGAGCTATGAGTAATTTCTCACCAAAGCTGCATGGTTTCTACACTGATGAAACACTAATGATTAATAATTGCTGCCTGCATGTGAGTTATACAAGGGCTGTGTGACAAAAGGAGGTGGTGTTAATAAAAAGTGACATTTTGCTCCACTCACACATGAAACTCCAGCTCCACAACAGCCCACAAAACAGTTTGACTGAGCCGTAGCAAGAAGAGATCTTAGTCACATGCTTTAAACCAAAAACATCATGTAGAAAGAAAGAAAGCAGCTTCCATGTATCTGTGGTGGCCATCACTATTAAACATAATTTTTCTATATAAATTTACTAGCGAGTCCGTTCCATATGCATTTGATCTCATTTTCAGATTGCACCTAGCTGATTGTTTACCAATTTTAGTAACTTTTTATAGTATAGCTATAGTTTAATATAGTATATTAATCGCCAAGTCTTCATGTGACTTAGTTTGCTGTGGCGATACCTGACAACGGGAGCAGCCGAAAGAAGAAGAAGAAATATAGTAATCCCCTGATTTATTTATTTATGTATTTGTTGTTGTTGTTGTTTTTACATTTAAGTAGGGTTCAAGATGATGAACAGCTACTATGTAACCTGTTGTAAATAGCTTTTTGAAGAGCCTTAGTTTGAAAAATAAAATCAAATGAATAAATAAAAGTAGATTGACAAGAAGCAGCGTGGTGGTGCAGTTGGTAGAGCTGTTGCCTCTCAGTGTCACCAGTTCAAATCCCACCTTTTCTCGGGGTTCACCGATTTCCTCCAACAGACCAAAAACATGCATGTTGGGCGGATTGGTAACTTAAAATTGTATGAGAGTGAGAGAGTGAATGGTTGTTTGTCTCTATGTGTCCCTGAGATGGACTGGAGACCTGTCCAGGGTGTCCCCCGGCCTCTCTCACAGTGATTTCTGGATATGGGCACCGGTGACCCCGCGACCTGATAAGGAAGAAGTGGGTAAAGATGATGGATGGATGAACAGATTGACAAGCTAATGGCTAGTCAGAGTGAGGCAGAGACCGAAGTTGATTGTAAAATCTGCTCAATAATTTAATAGCAGTTCATGCTATGCTATTTTACAAACCTTGACCTAGTCATCGATTGTGTGTAGTTTGGTCATTCATCTGAAGTTCTACAGTTTTATTAATTCTTCACTCATTTTTAGTCATAGCAGCAGCCTCAACTAGTGATAGCTGTAGCATCTCCCGTGGAACAGGAACGACTTCTAGCAAGAATATTGCATTAATTTCTGCCAAAATAATAATTGAATGCAACATTGACACTAACATAAAAGTGTGTAAAATAGTACTAGCATGGACTGCCATAAAATTGTGAGAATTGTTTAATATGACACTAATTCATTTTGTTCTTTGCCGCTTTCAGATTAGCCATTAGCATGTTAATTTGCTCAGAATTAAATTAATATTATTTAAATATTTATTTGATGGTCGATTGTATTATGCAGTTATAAAAACACAGTTAACTGGTCAAACCGCTTTAAACATATTCCCAATTATCTAAATGCTTTTATTTTGGAACCGATGGAAAAAGCCAAAGTCATGTTGTTTGACTCTCTTGAGTTAAAACCTACAAAAATCGTTGACTTTTTACTCGAATCCCCAACGAAAATAATTTGTCTTTACTTGTCACATCAGTTAAGATATCATAGTTACATTGCCTGCTCAATCTGTAGAGGAAATCTTTTACTAATTCTACCATCCCGGCAAGACCCATTTAATCATCTATATTTCATGACATGGTGTTTACGCTACAGTGAAAGCCTGACTGTTTTTTTTTTTCCTCCTTTAGCTCCTCTGGCCGGTGAGGTGTTCTCCTACGTTGTGATGAAATATAGATGTTGAGAGTCTGGAGAGTTGAGCGTCTCATCTGTCCCGGTGATACCATAAGGCAGCCATTAATAGTGTCACAGAGCATCAGATGTACCACAGGCACATAATTGGATCTGAGGACATAACTGAAAGCTGCTGCTTGAAAATCAACAGGGCCTTCCCAGGAGGCAGGCCCTTAGTAGATTCCCAAAGACATTTGCAAAGCCCATCCACTTCCCTGCTGGGTTTGCCTTCCCCGTTGCTCTTTTTTTTCTCACCCCGGTCATTTCAAGATGGCTTTTTGTTTCCTTCCCTTCTATGTTTTTTTCTTCTTTTTTTACGGTGGCTTTGCGAGTATGCAAATACTTTGAATCTTTGCATAATCACAAGCAGCGGGACCATCTGTTGTTGGCTTGTTGACTTACCTTGTGTCTGCTTTTTAATGGTGTTTTCCTGTGTTTGAGTGATGTATTGGTGTATTAACAATGTGATAATCATTTAACCTCAAAAACTGCAGTTGGGCGTATGTGCAAACGTCTGAACATATGTTCAGTAAAATCTTTTGACAAAGAAGGATTTATAATCCTTGAGCAGGGATGGAACTAAGAGGAACTGGGAAACAAAACAAAAAAGCATTACGTTTATCTGTGGGATAGTGTGGAGGTCAACCGGAGATAAAACTGTTGTCGTAGATTCCAAAAATTGCCGTTTTAAGTGTTGCAAATTTTGTTGCCAAAAGATTTGTTTTGAAATGGCTGGCACTAATAAAGAATATGTTCTTGTTTTTCTTGCAGAACCTGAGCCAAACACCCGAGAAGGCTTTTAACTCACCACCACCTATTTGTCCTCATAAGGTAAGCTTCAGCTGGAATTCAGGCAAAGAACGAAAAACACAAAATAATGACTAGTATTTTAGGAATACGGTGTTTTTCAGTTCCTTCTGTCTATTTGTGTTTAGATTTTTATTAATCACATCCGTCTCATATGAAGATCCACTTTATGTATTTGTTGATGAGCGCCACATTCAATGTTGTATTTTTTTTTTAAGTAATTTATAGACTAAACAATTTCTTTGCGTCTCCGCTTTTCCTCTTTGTGCTCTGTTAATCATTCAAGACTTATTTAACATGAGTCAAGAAGGCCAGATTTATTCAATGCTAATTAGTACCTAACAGACACAGTCAAAGCCATTAGTTCACTCTGATGGTCTCAAGTCATCTCAACACTCTCAAATAGCTCTCCCCTTCAACATTTGCTCTTGATGCACGCCTCTTGCAAACTGTGATAATGTGCTATACAGTGAAATTCACACAATTTTAGTTCACTTAGCACCAAGCGTGTCAAAAAAATGCCCGCGTCCTTTTCTGGATGAATGGCTGTTATGGTGGAGAGTGGCATATTGCAAAAGTGGACCTTGGTAAAAAGGAGCCCAATAGATGGAAGCTGTCTGACAGCCTGTCATCAAGCGTTCAGTCTAACACTGCTCTGCGTCCCTAATGCACAGCTAGCTGGCCAAAATGACTCTGGCTGGCTGCGTTCGCATGTGCAGTAAATAATAACCAAGTACGGATGGTCCTCCTCTGCTACGTCAATGAGAAATTACACGGAAGGCAATTAACTTCTATGTAATTAATTCTTGCTTTGTTGTGTTGCCATGCAGGGCGTCTTTTCCTATGAGCCACATACTGCTGCTTTATCAGACTATTAACAAGTTGAATTTCACTGGGTATTTTAAGTCAACTTTTTTGTTTTTAATTCAGATTAGTTTTGTTTATCTTTTTTCGCCAAACAATTGTAATACCTAGACCTGGGGCTGCTTAAAATTAGAAAGCATAATGTGCAATATTATTTAATATTGCGATTCTGATATTAATTGCAGAAAAAGAAATACATATTTTCCTCAGTCCTCATTTTCTCTTCTGTCATTGCTACCATCTAAACCAGGTCTGGGCATCATGGTCAATAAGAGTCTATTAGATTGACCAAAAATATTATTTGCATGCAGAACATGAACGCATGTTGAAATGTCATTCATTGACATGGCAATGGCGATTAATTTCCAATTTATTATGCAGCCATACTTGAAGCTAAACAAAACGAAAGTTAGCTCCAAACTCAAACCGAAGATAAAAATCTTACAATGTGGTCTGAACTTGCCTGACCTGTACATAAAGTGTTAGTTCAGATTTTTAGAAGTGGCGTTCTGTGAAAAGCTCATGAACAAATAGAATCTTACCTGTTACAGATATATTGAATGCCATTGATTTGAATAAATAAATACATAAACATTTTGACTGGATTAGCAAGGTAGCATCAAGTCCAAGCAAAACTAAAAACATATTACTACCATCTAGTCTAAAAAAAATACTACAGTTCACACAAACATTATTTATAAATATGGGATTTGTGCATGTATATGGATATGTGCACATTGGGATAAAATTATTATTATTATTATATATTATTATAATTATTTTGTGTTCAGTCAAAGCAGATGTATTTGCAGATGTGGGTTGTTTTGCAAAGTTGTATGTGCGTGTGTATACAGTATGTGTGTATATGTGTAGGTATATATGTATGGATGGATGCACAGATTCATATTGGTATTGGTGTTGATACACCCTGTGCAGTGTGCAATAGTTTTGGCATGTCTGGAATGAATCAATAAAATAAATAAAAATCAAATAAATCAACTTTTTCTTGTGTTGTATATATCATGATACTCCGGTGGGAAAGTACACCAGGCTTCACCTCAAGTGCTACCACTAACTGCTGCAATTTTCACTTGCAAACTGCCATACTAGTTTACTCAAATAATCATGCAATGCAAAATTGACATCAATATAATTATTTGTAAAACAACGTTTGCATTACCTACTATGAAATATTTGAAATTCAAATAGTTTTAAGACAACATTCATCTTTGGTCTTTGGCTCTTGTTTAAGTAGCCATTACCTAATGGCTATGTGAATGAAAATAAAGAAACTTTGATCTCATCAATCCAATCAGAAATAAACTCTATTTCTCCAAACTGAGGTTGTTCAAAGAGCTATCTACAACAGGTCAGATATTAATTGTTCATAACCTTTTGGCAAAAAGCCCCCCTTTAAAATATCTGTAGTAGTGCTTTAAGGCATCATTGAGCACATCAATATTGACTTGGTTGGACACTCAGAATGAGTTCAAACATTGCAAATAAAAAAAAATGCCATTTTACATGTTAGTGAAAGATGTCACACTGGAAAATCTTTCTAATTAAAGCTCTGCAGAAAATGTGCCATCTACGTCGTTTCATCTCCCACCAAATTTCTGTCTCTTTCTACGTCTTTATCAGGCTCCCTGTCTTTCTTTTTTTTTTTGTACAGTTGATCAGGGCTGATGTAATGGGGGGAACACCGTGGGTTTGCGTATGGTGTTATTCAAGTTTTAGCTGTTAGCAGCAGAACATAATCTCCCTCTAGTCAGCTCACATTAGTCTCCATGATTCGCACCAGCCCAATATGTGAGGCGAATGCAATGGGCCAGCTGGGGTAATTTAGGACGCCAGTCAGCTCAGGAGGCTGGTAAAATGAGTAAATGGCTGAATATGATTCATATGTAGAGTATTCTGATTATAATGTCTTTCAGAATAGAATATTCTCTGTCTTTTAAAACTTTTTTTTTTCCATCTGTACTGTGCGCATCCCCCCGATAGACACCGAAATGAACAGAGGGCTTTTAAACTGACTGCTCTATGATTATATTAAGAGTGCGAGAGAGCGAGGAAAGAGGAGGAGGGAGGAGATCTGATGCCCGAGCACTAAGTATATATAATTGCTTCTTGACACACTGGCCAAATTCTGCGGTGCCAGGATCTGAGCGAAGATGATTAACGGCTGTCCAAGTGGGTGGGCACTGCAGGTCGTTCAGGGCCTTTGGTTTCCATAGTGATACGAGTCTAAAGGCCATATATCGCATGTTGAATATCCCCAAGGTCCGCACATTGTTAAACTACAATTATAACTCACATCAAGAGCATTGTCTGTCCACCACAAATTCTGATATTCATCCACCCAGTGTTTTCCTTCTATTTTTTTTTTTTCTTCTTCCTCTATCCTTTGTTCACCCTTGCTTCCCTTAAACGGTCCTCTCTTGCTAGCAAGAAGATAAAGAGTGAAAATATCGCATTGTGTGAATAATTTATGTGTGGGTTCACCTCAGAGCATCATTACAGTACGGTATTCAGAGTAAGAGGTGAAGGTAAGATCATATTTCTGACACGAGGCTTCAGGCGATTGAAATCACGAAGGTTTTTTTTTTTTTTTTTTCAAAGAGTTTTCTTTTGGATGTGAAGCGTGCATTGCTGTTTCTCAGAGCTGCATGACAAGGACAAAATAAACTCTTAATTAGAAATGCAAACAAAACTTGTAGAAAACATTCCAGTACCACAACTGGTATGAGATGTTGCTTTTTTTTTTTTTTGGTTTTTAGTCATAAAAGCATTTAATTTTCCAATTTTGCTACCTAAGTGAGCACATGTAGGACATATTTATAGCTATACAGATATTAAGAGCACAACAAAAATAGGCGACAGATGGAGGATGTAAAGGGTGGGGGTTGAGATCAAGCAATCCTGACAACATGGGGCCTGCACTACACCTTGTTCCTGCCATTTCTGAAGTCTCTAACCTGCATCATGTATTCCACAGAATATTTTACCCACTATATATATATATTTTTTTTTTTTTATTTTTTTTTTTTTACTGCTCTGTACAGTACAAGTTAGTGCCAAAAATGCTCAACAAACACCCTACTACTTAAATAACTTCATCCCCGGAAGCTGAATAAATATGAACTCACTGGTGGTCATGGATAAAATGCTTAACACATCTTGTGTGCAGCAGCATGTTGAAGCCAAGTAAGGGCTGATGATTCATTCTGTATAATACTAAAAAAATAAATTAAAAAAATACCCCTGGCATTCAAACAACAGGCTCGTCATGCAGCGGTTAAGTTTTTAGTTTTAGGCATCATAGAATGTGCTTAGTGAGGCATATTCCTGAACATGTAGATCCAAATTTGTCTTTCATGCAAGTGCACTGACATATGCATTTAATCTATCAATCCCACTGTCTGGCATATACACACACACACACATATGCACAACTCAGCTGAAGTAAATGTGATCGCAGAAGACAAGCAGCAACAACCCATGGCTCCATCAGGGTGCCCGGGGTTGCATTGGTGGCCATCGTCAAACAAGTAATGCTTTGTGACTGAACAAAAAAGGCTATCCGAAAGGTCATTTGTGACCTCTGGGACCAATGCTGTGTAGAATCTGTCACTAGCACATGTCTGTGTCAAATGGCAAAAGGTATGCAACACAGTCAGCCTGCCATGTAATAAAGGCAGCAGGGTCTACATATACACAGCATCCCTGTCACAGCTGCATTAACAAGCCGCTGCAGCAAGCGGGCCGACCCGCAGAACATCCGGCATGCGTTGCTGCACACATGACCGGACAGATAACTTGAAGGTGGTCAGAGCATAGCAAAACATAATGCAAACATTCTACATTTGCACAAAGTTTTAAGGTCACACTAAGAAGCTGAGTGCAGAAATATGACTAAATTCACATCTATATTCAGTCTACAGTCATTCCACCTTTAAAAAAATCCCCAAAACCATTAGGCATGGCAAATAGTGTGCACTTATATGGAGCTTCTGCCTGAGTGCACTTCTTTACAGGTGATGCTGCCTCTCAAATAGGCACAATATGGCAATCCAAGGCGTGGGTCTGCCACTGGGAGCAACTTCAGGTGAAGTGTCTTTCCAGAGGAAGAAGCTGAAGTGAAATCCTAACCCTGTGATAAA